CTCCCCCCCCCCCCCCTGCGATCTCATTCGAAGTGGCAAATCTCCCTTTAAATTTTTCTCCTTTTTGTTTAGATTTTCACCGTTTTCAACGAAGATCTTGTTTTGCGAGCAGAGAGATGCATTTTCCAGATCTGAAATGAGATTTTTTTTTTATTTCCAGGAAAAAGCCCATTTGACCCTCTAATTATACCGTCTGTTTTATGTTCTATGGAGATTCAAGACATAAATCTGTTTGTTTTTTTTGGAACCTGCGACTGAATCTCGTGTCGGAGATGAACTCAGTCGTTGAGCGAGTTATACATTCATGGCGGTGTATCTTAAACTTTTGCCTTCAGATGAACTCAGATAGCACATATTATCCACTTTCCCTGGACAGTTATATCTTTTGTTTTTCAGATGATCTGAGTTATCACTTCAACTAGTTTAAAGACTTTTAGGCTGTTCTTCTTGTTTTTTTTTTTGCTGAACTTTGCTTCGCTAGACATGTTACTGTTGTTGTCTCCTCTAATCGAACAGTGTATCTTTACGAATTTGCTTCTGCAGGCTTCAGTTTCTTGGGTTCTTGGATGTTGGATTGATTGGATGCAGGATATCCAGTAACCGTTCTGTACCATTCTTGATCATGCTCACCTTCTCCAAGATTCATGTTAACATCGTCGAGGTTGCGGTAATAATAATCTCTGTCTCCCTCATTTCACTTCTCCCGTCGTTTTCTGCTGCAATTCCTATCAACATTTGGCCAAAGCCAAGAATTCTGTCATGGCCTAAACCCGAAGCCTCTCTCCTCTCCCCGAAATTCGCCATCCATTCTCCCAAACATCGCTACCTCTCGACCTCTGTAACACGCTATCACCGCTTGATTCAGTCAGAGAACTATCAACCCATCGTTGCTACTACCCCTTCTTATGTCAAACTTATCAAAGGCTACACCTTACACAGCCTCACCATCAATGTTACCGATCTTTCCGTCCCTCTTCACCACGGCGTGAACGAGTCTTATAGTCTTTTGATCCCAAAGGGCGGCTTTTATGCCCACTTGACTGCTCAAACTGTTTGGGGAGCAATGCGTGGACTGGAGACATTCTCCCAGATGGTATGGGGGAAAGGTCGATTATATGTTCCTGTGGGCATTTTGGTATGGGATTCTCCTTTGTTTGCTCATAGGGGATTGATGCTTGATACCTCGAGGAATTATTATGGAGTAGAAGATATAATGAGGACCATCGAGGCCATGAGTGCAAACAAGTTGAATGTGTTTCATTGGCACATTACCGATTCCCAGTCTTTCCCATTAGTGTTGCCTTCAGAACCATCTCTTGCCGCAAAAGGCTCTTACGGACCAGACATGGTGTACACTCCCGAGGATGTCAGGAAGATTGTCCAGTTCGGTTTCGAGCATGGTGTCAGAGTTCTTCCTGAAATAGACACTCCTGGTGAGTTTACTATCCTTCTGTCTCTTTTCCATTCTCAATTTGTTGTATTGTCTTGTTTTTTATGATTGAAACAATTGCAAAAGATTATGCCAAACCGTTATCGATATGTTTTCATCGTGGTTACAGCGCATACGGGATCATGGGCAGAAGCATATCCCGAAATCATGACTTGTGCCAACATGTTCTGGTGGCCAGCTGAGAGCAGTTGGGAAGAAAGACTAGCGAGCCAACCAGGGACCGGACAACTGAACCCCTTGAATCCCAAGACATACGAGGTTGTCAAGAATGTCATACGCGACTTAACCACTCAATTCCCGGAACCTTTCTTCCACGCAGGAGCTGACGAAATTATCCCGGGATGCTGGAAAACCGATCCTGCAATCCAGTCTTTCCTCTCTAATGGTGGAACCCTCAGCCAGCTTCTCGAGAAGTACATAAACTCGACCTTACCTTACATCGTATCACGAAACCGGGTAGCCATTTACTGGGAAGATGTCTTGCTGGACGCCAAAATCAAAGTGGATTCATCGCGTCTGCCTCGTGAAAACACAATCTTACAGACATGGAACAATGGTCCTGACAACATCAAGAGGATTGTATCTGCAGGGTACAGAGTGATCGTGTCTTCATCTGAGTTCTACTACCTAGACTGTGGCCACGGTGGTTATCTAGGGAACGATAGCCAGTATGATCAACAAGACGGTGGAGGTAACTCGGGAAATGGCGGATCGTGGTGTGCTCCTTTCAAGACATGGCAAACCATTTACAACTATGATATAACAGATGGGTTGCTCGGGGAAGAAGCAAAGCTGGTGCTGGGAGGGGAGGTTGCGTTGTGGTCCGAGCAAGCGGATCCCACCGTCTTGGACGCACGGCTTTGGCCACGGGCTTGTGCATTGGCTGAGTCGATGTGGTCAGGGAATAGGGACGAGAGAGGCGTGAAGAGATATGCCGAGGCGGTGGACCGGCTGAACCAGTGGAGGTTCAGGATGGTGAACAGAGGGTTTGGTGCTGAACCTATCCAACCGTTGTGGTGTTTGAAAAATCCTGGAATGTGTAATACTGTTCATAACGAATTCACGACCAGTAAAAATGAACCACATGGGGGGACAAAGAAGAGAGCTGCATATAGTTTTTTGGTCTGAAAGGTAAGAGAATCTGAAGCAATCTGTAGTAAAAACACCCCCTTGAATGTCGTCTTGTAATAAGATTCAGGGATTTTGATAACAGTATTTTTGGTATGCATAGTCAAGTAAAGTTTTGGACTTTATTTTTTCATTTCCCGTGTCAAAATGTCCAAAGAAACAAAACTCTTGTCATTGATTCGTTGAAGGAAAAACATGATCGAACATGAAACCCATGCGATGAATTTAAAAATCGAGGTGCAAAAGGAAACTTTTTTTTATATTATTATGCCAAAAAGGATCGGACTTCAGAGGAAATTCGACGACTTTTTGCCATTATAAGCCGAGGAATTCGCCCGTCTCTTTAGGTCCCTCAAAATCTTCGTTTTTTTTTGTTCGCGTCTTGTTATAAACCGATGGCGATGGGAGACCGCAAGAAGATGATCATCGACACTGATCCAGGCATCGGTATGTTTCCTTGTCATCTTGAAATCGTTGTCTGATTTCTTGTTCGTTCTTTCTCTTAAACCATCTGGGTTTAGTATTTCTCGTTATTCTAAATCTGGGTCTGTGAGGTTTTCGTCATCGAAGATCTGGGATTGCTCTGGGTCTGGGTCATCACCTGTCGGAAAGTCTGGGTTGTGATTATGGGGAAATTTCCCATTTAACTAAACTGTTGCTTTTTTTTTTGTTCCGGTCGATGCAGATGATGCAATGGCGATATTTGTGGCTCTGAGATCGCCGGAAGTAGATGTGATCGGTCTCACTACAATCTACGGCAATGTGTACACCACTCTCGCCACCCGAAATGCCTTACATTTGGTATTACTCATGCGCTCTTGCATTCGTTTAAGCCGTCTTTTCATATAGAAAGGAGAAAACGAGTTTGATGATCTGTTGGTCTGTCACTGATCTTTCTGTCACTATAAGTTGGAGGCTGCGGACAGGACTGACATTCCAGTGTCTGAAGGAACTCATACCACTATCACTGTATGTATCTACTACCTTCATGTTTATGTTTCTGGTATCTGTCTGCTTTATCTTCAGTTATCCAAAGAATATAGATATTAGATTATGGACCCAATTGTGAGATTTATGATTTTGATACATGATAGTAGACATAATAGTTCCAGGCTTTCGATATCAGTAGAAATTCTCTTGGACTTCAGTTTTCTCCAATGGCCTTTGCATTTCCATCTAGTTGAAGGGTTTGGAGCTTCATTCGTTCTTGAATTGTACGTTGGACCGTTGGTTTTATACAGAGTTGATGTTTTTTTTTTCTGTATCGATTGGCTAGTAGGCCATTCTTAAGCAGATTGATTGATATTCCTCAGGGCCTGTTCTCCAGTTCAAAGAAAATGATCGCTCCTATGTTATTTTTTCTTTCTCATTTTTCTTATTCCCCTTCCCCTTTTTTATGGTAAAGAATGGTACGAAACTCCGGATCGCTGATTTTGTTCATGGCACGGACGGGCTAGGCAATCAAAATTTCCCTCCACCTAAAGGAAAACCAATCGAAAAATCAGCACCTGAGTATTTGGTCGAACAAGCAAAGCTTCACCCCGGGGAAATCACCATTGTTGCATTGGGCCCGCTGTCTAATATTGCACTGGTCAGACTAGTATGGGGCAATTTCTTCGATAATCTTCAATCTTCATCCCTAGCATGTCATGGAAGATTTCACGTTCTTGATGCAGGCTATTCAGCTTGATCCAGAGTTTTCGAAAAATGTTGGACAGATTGTTCTTCTTGGTGGAGCATTTGCAGTAAATGGAAATGTAAATCCAGCGGCAGAAGCCAATGTAAGTTCAGTGACCGGTTCGAGTTCTCGTCTAGTTTGGACTTTCATGCATTATGCCCAAATACCCGTCACTCAACTTCTCTCGATGATTTTAATCTCCAAGCTTGCTAAGCGGTAGAAGACTTATCCAACTTCACTACAACAAACTAATTAGAAATGCCTGTTTTTGCATGAATATAGTTTTTCTTGCTTAAAATCCCTGAATCTTTTCTATCCATTCATCTTCTTGGTTAGATTTTCGGTGATCCAGAAGCTGCGGATATGGTATTCACAAGTGGAGCTGATATCATTGCTATCGGGATCAATGTGACCCATCAAGTCGTTATGACAGGTATTTTACTTGCAAATTCTTTGGCTTGGCTTCTTGGATTTTGTTATTTAAGGTGCCTCCAAAATCATGTAATACCCTTTTTTCTTTCCCGTTTTCTGTCTCTGCTGGTATAGCTGATGACCGGGACAAATTGGCATCATCAAACGGGAAATTAGCGCAATACCTCTGTAGAATTCTTGACGTGTACTATGCTTACCATCTCGAGGCTTACAATATCAGAGGTATATGACCGTCGTGATCTGTCTGTGGAGCCAAACTTTTCAAGATTATATAGTTCGCTGATGTTGATTCTTGAACTTGTTGGTAAGGTGTCTATCTGCACGACCCGACAACAATTCTTGCAGCATTCCTTCCTTCTCTGTTCACTTACACCACCGGAGTTGTCAGAGTGCAGACAAATGGCATCACGAGAGGGCTGACGTTGCTGTATAACAAGCAAAAGAGGTAATGATTCTAGTGCAAAATGTAAGGGGAAATCATTGTCCAAAATGCTCAAGAAACATGTCCGGGAAGCTCAAAGAACATAATTTGGCTTAGGAGAGGGTAATTGCTTATGCGGTCAGGTCTTACTCATCAGATCAAATCTGTTAAAAACCTCTTTGGTCAAAGAGAAACCAAGAAAAGAACTAACCAGAGTGAACAGTGTCGGTCAGGTCACAAGCCGAATAAGGGTTGTTAGGACAGGAAGTGGTTGTGTTCGTGTGGCTGAATTTGTGACGAGGAATGGTGAAAGCAGGTTTGGTGAAGTGGACGAGTGGTCGGACAAACCGTCGGTGAAAGTGGCGGTCACGGTGGATGCTCCTGCTGTTTTGGAACTCATCATGGAAAGGCTTATGGATTCATGAATCAGGTTTTTTTTTTTAAAAAAAAAGATAATAATCTTAATAATCACAATTTGCGTCTTGTCAAAATAAAAAAAAGGATTTTTTTGTATTAACGGTTAATTACAGCATTATACAATTTGCGTGTTATCAAGTCTTTCTAAATCTACTTTTCTGCCTGTTATTGCCATAGTTGTCAATGACTTCAATGCCACGTGACACATCGATAATTACCATATAACCAAACCTAACCCAACTTTGGATGAAGAAAGAAACCAACCTCTCTTTTTTCCCCTAATCACAATCTAAGTTATATTAATCTTAATTTTTTTTACTTTTGTTAATCAAAACATGAAAAAATATAAAACGAATCTTAATATTAAACGTTCATCTTGATCGCTAAGAGTCCACCGGAATATACAGGTTTGATTTAATCTTTTAAATTCTTGTTTTATATTATAATATGTAATTTGTAATGACCGAAACTTATCCTCTAATACACATCGAAACGATTTTATTCACGTGTTTTTGCATTAAAAAGGAATATATTCAGACTTAAAAGGACTAGAAATTTAATTTGGGGTCTTAAGGGATAAAAAAATGGACGTTTTTGAAAGAAAAGAAAATAATGGGGTTGGAAACAGGAGGATGGGAAAAGTGTTGGGCCAAAGATGTATATATTTAGAGATTAAATAATACATTCCAAAAGCATGGGGTCCTTAGCATAATTTATCAAAAATTTCCACAGGGAGTATAACATACATTACCATAAATGATTCATCCATGCATCATTTTACATCTGGGAGGAAGATCACATTGTCTGAACCAGACATCCTCCATGGACGAGCTCTCGTTTCTGTCCGGTCGGGACAAATCTCAGAGAGCGTACATTCTCTTGTTGTATTCGCCGTTCAGAATTTCCGAATCGGAAGCCATACGAGACGGAGAGAAAGAAGAACGTGACTTGCTCCTCTCCTTCCTTATGCTCCTGAGTTTAGACTCTTCCATCCGGTGCATGACCACGCAGTAACACATGGCACCGATGGTGGTGACCATGATCGAGCCGCCGATCACGGTGGCGCAGACCGCGAGCCACATCTCTTCCTTACCCACCACGATATAGGCGAGAGACACGAACGAGACGGATATGAACAGACAGGCCAACCACATGAGCTTGTTGATCACGAACACGAGCCTCTTCTTCGCCTTCTGTTCAATCACCACGACTGAAGTCTGAACCACAACGACCGCCAAGGATATGAACAGGGCAAGGCTGTCAAAGACAAAGAATACGAGGAATGGTGCCTTGTCCGCTATCCGAGCCTGTCCTAAAACCGACCCTTTCGACGGATCCTCTTCATACTGCCCCGGAATTGTGAAGATGGCTGCGAACGCGACAGTCGCGATGAGGACAGCCACGATGGTTGCAGAGTTTATAGCGTTGTTCAGACCGCTTATGTGAAGCTTCTCCAGTCGCTTCGCGATCTTCTGAACTCTGAATCCCGTCTTCCGAGACTGTTGGAGCTGAGACTGGACCTCGTGTTTTATGTCGCTTACCGTCTGTTTGAGTTGCTTAGCCGGGTTCTGAGGCCTCCCGAGATCTTTAGCTCTCTCGGCTCCCGCATCCTTCAGGACCGACACAAGTTCTTGATTTCCGATCCTTTCCGCGATATCAAGCGCTGTCTCTCCTGCTTTGTTTATAGCTTTAACGTCGATGGCATCGAATGAAACCAGACATCTCACTATCTGCAATGAAAAAAACGAGCTGTTTTATAAACAATGGACTGCTAGAGATCAGTGTTCCCAGAACTGGAAAACTCTGCAAAATGATCATGAACAGAAAAACTACATGAGACATAGAAAAGCGTCAGCATTTACAGATGCAAATCGAATATGACAGATGATGTATGTGTGTATAAAGAGAAGAACTGAGAGAACACCTTGGTACGGCCCTTGTTTGTGGCGATATGCAATGGTGCATTCCCTTTATTATCCTCCACGTTCAAGACAGTGGGATCGGGCTTCACTAACTCGAGAACGATCTCTTCGTTCTGACCCTTAACAGCCATATGAAGTGCCGTTTGCCCTTTTTTATCGGTTCTGAATCCCGAGCTTGGATCCTTACTTATCAAAGACTTGACCACTTCCAAATGCCCCATCCGAGCTGCAGAATGAAGCGCCGTTTTGCCATTGTTCTTAGCTATCTTAGCTAAATTAGAATCCGTCTCCAGGAGAAGATTCACGATTTCGACGTGCCCTTGAGTCGCAGCCGTGTGCAAGGCAGTTGTACACGACAAATCTGTTGTCATGGCCAAGTTTGGGAATGTCTCCACCAGTTTCTTCAACACATCTGCAATATAAGGTATGGTGTTCTTACATCTTCAAGAAACAAGACAAAGAGACTGTTTAAGTTGCAGAAAAGGGGAATTCGGTCTGAGGTTCTTACCGAGATGACCCTGCTTTGACGCGACATGGAAAGGATCGAAACCGTTCCTTGCTGAGATCGACGCTGTTTCAAGGTCCATATGCTTTAACATCTCCTCAACCACAACCAAAACCCCATTTTCTGCTGCAGCATAAAGAGGAGTCTCTCCTTCTAGATTCTGATTTGACATTATCTGTTTCAGACATTCGCTGTTATTACAACTATGGATGATTTCTTTAACCTTGCTCGAGTTCCCTGTTCGAGCTGCAGTATGAAGAGGCGAGTCTCCTCTTTTACCAGGTGACTCGTTCTTCTTCTTCTTCCCCTCACTACCAGCCATGAAACTCAGCTGTCTCTCCATGATGACTCGGAAGCTTTTCTGCCTCTCCATGGCCCTACCGAAACTCGGGTGTTTCTCCATAACTCCAGGTTTACTTGGCTGGTTCTGGTCCTGATTATCCATGGTTGCGCCATGAAAACTCTGTTGTTTCTCCAATCTTCTTCCTTTGCTTGGCTGATTCTCTACATCCACGCCGGCGAAACTCAGGTGCTTCTTCAAAGCTCTTCCTTTGGTCGGGTGATTCTCGACTCGGAAACTCTGTTGCTTCTCCATCACTGGTCTCCTTGAACCATTCTCCTCCTCCATTATAGTCATATTATGACCGATTCTTTTCGTCGTTATCAACAAATTTCTTAACAGAAGTCACTTCCCCCAATCTGAAAGCCCTAATCCCAAAAGACAAGACCTCCCCAAAATCTAAAGACACCAACTTTCGTATCACCTTGACCAATCCATGGAAATTTTATCCCCAGAAACAGAGACCCATTAACATAAACATACAAAGTCGAGCTTCACATCAACAGAACAACCTTATTCCAAGAACAATCAGCAGGTGAAAACAAAACAAAACCCAACTTCCTCAGAAATGAAATCGGAGAATCCCCAGATTCTCGTAAAGACTGCGAGTTAAAGAAGAAATTCAACCGACAAGAACGTAGATAAAAGAAGGATCAAGTTGCAGTGGTTTCAGTTCCTCAGAGGACAATACCCATCACTGAATCTGAGAACCCAACAGCTCGATTCTCCAAAAGGTTTTTTTTTTGTTTGAAATCTTTAGCCTTTCTGTGCTCTCACAAGTAAGAACTAAGAACTTTCTTCGTAAGCCATAGATGAATCCAAGGAAGAGACTCAGATAGCGAGAGAGAGAGAGAGAGAGAGAGAGAGAGAGAACTTGAATGTAACGATCATCAGCAGTTCAACTGGGAATTTTCCCCTTTAATTTATGTTTGGATTCTAGAAAACATGCAAGAAAACTTCTTACCTTATTTACACCGAAGAAAAAAAAAACATTACACATGAATACGATTCATAAGTCAAGCAGTAGACATTATAATATCTCAACATGTTAATATATCATAAAGGTTTTTTTTCATGTAAATAAAATAGACTTGCAACGTAGTGATAATGTTACAATTTCCATAATACAAAGCAGTTGAAACTTCGTATCGATGACTATAGTATACGTACGATCCATTGGTAACTAGATTTGTCATTTGTCGTTATAAAATCGAATCATAGAGAACTAGGTTAGTATCGAATACAGACAAATATATATGGTTCGTGATAGAGTCGTGATGGACTAAAACTTCATTCGATACAAGATATTTAAAAATGAGGAGGAAAAAAAAAACAAAAGGCACGTGGTCGGCTTATTATTGTGTTCTACATGCATGTGTGTTTGCACACATATTTCAGATTAATTTTCTCTCTGATTATATAAAATACTATTTATACACACTTACACTTATTGGCAATATACCTTCTCTTTTATTTTGGTATAGGGTACGATGAGATTCGCGTATAATTGATTTCCTCCAATTTTATAAGGATAATCAAAATTAATGGGTTGTCGTGACAATATGAGGCAAATTGCGACTTCATGGTGACGATATTAGCTCGCATATATACTCTCACGCATGCGTAGATGTATGTATGTATGTATGTATGTATGTATGTATGTATGTATGTATATGTGCGTAATCTGCATGTCTTTCCCCTTTTATTTCTGCTTATCCATTATTTTCTTTAAAAGTCAACTAAAGAAAAATGAAGAGATGAAGAAGATAAGGAGTAGGTGGCACGTCTTGGTCGGTCAAGCTCTCTGAATTTGACTTTTTTTTATAACTTGGGCATCCATTATAATCTCAAAGCATAATAATATAAGGTTAATGTCCACTACTAACACACTTCTAAGTTTCTCAATTTCTACTTTAACACCTCCACTCATATCGTTGGACCAACGAGATTGTCAATAGCATGCGATACGGTAATGTGTATAAACAACATTTTTTTTTTTTGGAATCGCCATTCACTCACTTTATGTTTCATTCCCAAAGACAAAACATAAAATCTATAGACAGATAAAAAAAAAAGCCTTTCCTGCTTTTTTCTTGTTGTGTCATGTATCCTTGTCTGCAACTGTATGAAAAAACTTTAAAAATTCCCCAAATGGAACATATATATATATATGTATATATGTGTGTGTCCAAAACCCTGTGAAAGCTTTTCTTCCAAATGTAGATTCATGGTGCCACTTTTATATCTTTCTCCCCAGAGAGCTTAACCTACAAAGGAAAGGAATATCCACGGAGATACTTGGAATCTACTCCTGATTCCCGAACCAACGCAACTCGCCCTGTTCTCGCAACCTGCATTGCACCCAAAGCAACATAAAATGATACGGCCGATCCAGTTTCCTGAAACTGGTTCTGGTTCTGTAAATGCAAAGATCGAGAAGAAGCCGGAATCTCGATAGCATGGAAAATGAAGAAGCAAACCTAAGAAGACAGAGTTTAAGTAATAAGTAAGGATTGGTTCCGAATTCTGGTTCTATTCCTGATGGATTCAGCTTTCCTCTCGCTTTTACCAAATCTATATGTTTCCTCCATTTCTATGCTTACAACTCCCAAATTCTCGGGTTAAAAAGATGTAACTCATTAAGTGCTTTAAATAAAAATGAGGCAAAAAAAAAGTGGCATTTTCCCGTTTGAATATGGGAACTAAGGTCCAAGGCTGATCCTAGAACAGTGAACTACTCACTGCTTCCTCTTATATTTGTGGTTCGAACGACATCAGGGTGTCAGCTCTTTGTGCAATATAGCATGAATGGGCTTATGGACACAAAGTATTTGGAAAATGACTACAAAGATGGCAATAGGTTGAACGACAAACCTCGCAAATTCCGTAAGGCTCCAACAACCTCTGCAGGGCAACCATCTTGTCTAGATCCCCTGTAAGCTGATTCCATGGTGGAAATTCCACCCCCCGAAATTTCCAGCATTAGCGTTCAAAAGATAAATAAAGGAAAGAGATACGGAAAAGATGACAGAGATAACAGAATATTAAAAGTTGAACAAGAGGCTAATCAGAGTTACAGATTGTAGATCCACTCATACTATGTGAAAACTAGATTGAACATACGCCAACCATTAAGTTGTCTATCACTATCTACCGTGCTTCAGATATATGCATATGACATATAGTGAATTAGACATTTGAGCAATAACCCCTCATATTGCAGAAAATACAGAAGCACAAAGATGCTCGTTGAAGAAGTAATGGACAACTCCAATGGAGGGGACTTCCTCAAATATGCAATCAAATCTCAATTAATTATCTAGATCATGAGGAATATCTTTACCTCCAGAGTAATTGTGTGATCAGATACATCAACAGCTTTTGCTCTGAAGATACTAGCAATGTCCAGGACATCCCTTCTGGCAACAGTGTTCACAGCAATCTTTATCAGCATCAATTCTCTTTCAGCAAACGGCAAATGTGTGAGATCACGAACCTGCAAAAATTCAGGCACAAATCATAGTACCATGCTCACTCAAAATATTACACAATGTTAATATCTGTTGCCCGAGAAGGACAAAACTTAAGGCTGAAAACAAGTTCCCACATGAGTACAGGCAGCGGAAAAAGAGATAGGGGAGTCCAAAAGAGGTTCACAAAGATTTTGTCATAGATCTATCAAGGTAAAAAAAAAATAGTAAACTTTTTCCTTAACAAAGGAATGAAGGGGTGAGTCAAACAAAACATTCAGACTGTTAAATATATGTAAGAGCAGACAAAAAGTGTTCCCTTTCTGCAATCCCACCTCGTGCACATCTACAAGTTTATAAAGTTGCTGCACCAATTTGCTGATTGATTCATCAGTAGCGGGAATAACTGTTGTAATGCGCGACCGACCCTCAGTTTCAGCATGTCCCACAGCCAAACTCTGAAAGGAATTGAAATAGCATTCATCTGATTAGCTGAATACAGGACACGCATACAGAAATATGGGTTGGGAGGTAGAGAGAGTCACTACCTGAATATTGTAGCCCCTTCGAGCAAATACACCAGTAACAAGATTAAGGACTCCTGGAGCGTCATTTACAAGCAAAGACAGAGTATGGGACCGGAGCCCACTCATCTGATGTAACAGAAAAGAGGAATTACAAGAAGTAAAATACATAAATAAATCGAAAATAAAGCAAAATAAATCCCAATAATATTTTTGTGTAATTATATTATGTGAACTTATCAAACCATCTCATCAATGCCATGAAATTGTAGACCAGCTAGAAAACATGCAATACCACTATTCAGGTCCAATACCTATGGGACATGATTTAGGGAGCTGATCTGATCCTAATATAGACTTCGACTATAGAATTGAATGCTTCCCAATGCATGTAGTGGTTGTCTATGAAAAAAGTGTTAAGATTCGCAAACCAATGAACTTTAGGAATCCCACAACGGTTCAAAGAGGGACATAATGTGGGGCTTATAGGGCCCTTAGATTCCCTCACCCTACAAGTTAGCTTTGCGAGAAAGTTCTATCTAGTTTGTTCTTATCAAAATGTTACTCTGGAACTGACTCTAGTTATGTTTGATCACATTCTGCAATATAGATGTTGCATATTTACCAACACCTTAGAGCAATTTATTTAAAAACAAATATAAGCAGGAGGAGCTCTCTTACATCTTCTTCATTAAGAAGTCCCCAGTGAGCATCAAGAACATGATTTACCATGAGGTCAGAAGTCAGCTCGACTGGATAAACATCTCCCTGAATTACCACACAAAAGTTTAACACTGAGGTCATGTTCATCATTTTTTTATAACATACAGACAAGAATATTCGCTGATACGCAACATGTGAAGAGCTCAGGTCAGAGTAGGATGCATGCTTCGGTATTTTCCTCTTTTGAGACACTAGTCAACTGCAAGACCTCTAGACCATAAAACAATTCTGAAATTCCCTATTGCAGGTTCAACTAAAAAGAAACTGGTATAAGGAAGACAGAAGCACACACCCCTGCAGCTGAATCAGTTTCAGAGAACACGCTTCCCTTTTTGGAACCCTGAAGAGCACTAACAGGTGCTTGCTCCTGGAGATCTGGATAGGATGCTGCCGAAAATCGCCAAAATGGAGCAGATTCACCCATCTTCTCCCTTCTCAGTGCAATCTGATAAAAGAGAATTCGTGAATAGCATTTTCCTTACATCATTAGGGGACTGAAATGTATGCCTTCATGTCTAGGATCCAAAAAATGTAGCTATAACAACCGACAAGACTGATCATTACAAAGAAAGACTAGATGATAGTGCTTAAGGAATAATAAAAACCATAATTCCAGTTCTTTGAAGTCAATACCTTTCCTGTCCTGGCAATTTCTCTGATTCCAAATTTTCTCAAATTTCTTTCAACAGCATTCATCTTTCCCGGATCTCCAGTCACCTGCATAAGTAGCTTAGATAATGGTTACAGGAACTAACATAGGTGATTTACGAAGCAGAATGTTATATATTCTACTTCTACAATAAAGAAGTTCCATTCTGGTCTTTACTTCTTTGACATTCATACACAATACTCCGTGCCCCAATAAAGGTCAAAGCAAGGAAATGAACGATTCAGAACACTGAATATCAGCATAAAATAATTGAGGAAACACAGTTGTTTCACCCCCTTTCCCATTTCTCTTAAAGTGATAAAACCAGCAGACATCTAGAAGGACTCATATCAGAAATAAATACTAAAAAGAAACATGGGAAGAGAGGGCGGGGGACCTTATTCAACTGAAGCTTCTAATGTCTTCCTATGACTAGTCATAACAATAAAACAGAGAACAAAATAAACTGGGGGAAGGAAATATCAACACAAGAGCAGGATATAATCATATCAGCAGATGTACCTCAATAGTTAATGCGTGCTCCGAAATATCCACGATTTTCGATCTGAAAGTATCAACTAGCCACATAATCTGCAAATTCATCAGATTGAGGACAGTTAAAGATTTCAGGGAAAAAACAGAAAAGAAAAAGAGGAAAAGGAAAATTTCTGAAAATTAGAAACTCTTAGTTCCCTATAGCCGAGGAGACCTACCTCTGCTCGGGATTCTGGATGTGCATTAACCTTTACTAGCATTAGTTCACGCTCTACCTGTGGTTCGCTTGAGATATCTTCAACCTACTTGACAAGTTAAAGTCAAGATCCATGGAGGGGAAAACGGCAATATTGTGCAACTCGTGAACATGCAGTCAGAGAGCATAAAACCCAGATATAAGTAGTCCTCAGACGTTCAGCAAGTTCAACATCATCGACATCAACATCACCTTATTCCCAAATTTATTTGGGGTCGACAACATGAATTCTTCGTTTACACTCGTTTTCGTTTCGGTTTTGAGTTAGCTCTTTCGGGATTTGTAACAACTCCAAGTCATTCCTAATGACACGATCCCAAGTAAACCTAGGTATACCCCTTCTTTTTCTCTTCACCCCCATTCATATACTCTCAACTTTTCTAACCTGTGCATCTATCGAGCTATATTGTACATGTTCAAACCATCTTAAACGTTCAGCAAGTTCAGAAGGCATTAAAGGGTAATGCAAACCAACTGTGTTTTCGATTTCTGGCCTTGAGCAACTTCATTATGCGTACCCAGCAGCAACAGGAAACACAAGTTATTTTGTTGAAGAACATGCTGAATGCAGAAATTGGTAAAATATCCTAGAAAGTGAGGCTAGTAGCTTCTGCTAAAAAATTCCAAGACTTTGCAGTAATCGTAATCTACAATATTACTACCTTTAAAACATTAACGAGCTTCTGGAGCTGCTCAATGACTTGCTGAAGTACCCTTTCAGTTCCACAGACAACTATGGTGAAGAGTGCCTTGTCTCTGTTTAGACCGACAGCAAGACTCTCAATATTGTATCCTCTCCTAGCAAATACTCCCGCAATCCTGTTAATCATTCCACTCTCATCCCCAACAAATACCGAAATGGCGTGCTTCTTCACCCTATTTTTGTGAACAAAGAAAAAGTCAATGGTTGTTGATAAGATGGCATTCACTTCGGATATCACATTTTGAACCTAAACATATCGGTATATCTAAAAGATTATGAACAGAAGCAACCAAAAGAAGAAAATAAACATTTAACTGGAATCGATCACATCCATTATAGCCTGGATTTTGAAACTAAACCTCAATATACAGACAACAATGGCAGAACAGAAGGCATTTCCTCAGCCACCGAGAAACATAACAAAACCCAGAAACAAACAATTGCCCATTCATTAAAAACCAATAAACGCCAACCGAAATTCCATGAACCAGATAACATCGACGAAGATAAAGAGAAGCGAACACCGAAATGACTGTACTTTGATTTTTGAGTTGTAGAAGAAGGGGCGGAGAACGATTTGTCAGAGATCTGCTCATCGACACTTCGAACAGAGACCACCATTCTCTTACACTCGTCATGGATACTGTTCGTAGATTGCGTGAGCGGATAAGAAATCTTCGTCGGGAACGACAGAAGCTTCCGTGATCCGATGGCGAGAGCAGATTCGGGACATGAAGATCTCAAGCTGCGAAGAGATGGTGCTGAAGCAGTCGAAATGGCGGCCATCAGAGAGACGATCCAAGGAGTTGATGTTCGAGGGTTCAAGACTACGACGGAGTAACGAAGGGAATGGTTTGATGAAACCGAAACTATCTATGGTCGCACAGCGAAACGCAAACGCCAAAAGATCCAGCGGTCTGCCTTTATTTGTAAATGAATTATTGGCCTTGATTGGATAAGGCCGACCGACACGCGTTTGCGTCCAATTTTATAACAAGTATAAGAGGAAATTTGCTAAAAGATCCCCAAAATATAATTCATATCTCCTTTTAGCACTAAAATAATCCATATTTTCAATTAGACCCCTGAAATATGATTACAAAACGATTCTAACGAATATCTCTGGGGTCGTAATATCAAAATAAAATAAAAATTAAGTGCATATCTATACTATAAATCAATTCAAAAAATTTCAATTAAACGAGATATGGTATAGATTCTTATAAAATATATACAGGGATCAGACGATTTTGAATTTTGGGGTAACGAATTAAATTTGAGAATATAGGAAAATATTTATGTTTTTATATAAATATAAGGAGCAAGCTAAAATGAGCAGGGCCCCTCGTGTACAATCCATTCTTATCGGAAAGCGTCCGGAAAATGATTGAAGCGAAAGTCAAAGCACGAGTCTTCGGAAACAAACGATTCAATCGCACAGCCCAACGCGATTCGAGTGGATCTCATCTTCGGTTGCTGAATTCATTCTCACGCCAAATGTTACCAATTCTCCAGATCGAGAGCCCCTTCAATTTCCTCAGGAAAATGTGATTTCTTCATTCCATTTCCAGAAGAAGAAGAGGTTAATCGAAGGTCCTAGTAATGGCGAATCTCGCGATGCAGCTGAAACGCGGGATTTCGAGGCAATTCTCCACGGGTTCGCTGCGTCGGACGCTGAGCCGTCAGTTCACGCGCCAGACATCGCACGACCCTCGCCGGAACAACATGCGCTTCAGCTTCGGTCGTCAGTCGTCGATGGACCCGATCCGGCGGAGCCCCGGTGGTTCCGGCGCCGGAGCACAGCAGCTCGCCGTCCCCAATAACCTCGACGCCACGATGCAGCTCCTCTTTATGGCGTGTCGCGGGGACGTCGCCGGCGTCGAGGATCTGCTCAACGAAGGGATCGACGTCAACAGCATCGACCTGGACGGCCGTACGGCTCTTCACATCGCCGCATGCGAAGGCCACGTCGATGTCGCCAAGCTTCTCCTTAGCCGCAAGGCCAACATTGATGCCCGTGACCGATGGGGAAGCACGGTCCGTTTTCTCTGAATTGCTTGACATATATGTTTCTTGTTATGGCATGATCACGTTGTGCTAAGGTTTTCTCTGCGGAATTGCTTCAGACATAGCACTTGTCTTCGGTTTAGTTTCAAGCTTTGTGGTGAAATGTGTTTTTGGGTTGTGGATAGGCAGCTGTGGATGCCAAGTATTATGGTAATGTAGAAGTATACAACATATTGAAGTCCCGTGGTGCGAAAGTACCGGTATGCTATCTCGTATCCATCTCTGTTTCTTTTTCATTGCATCGGAACTTAATTCTTGGATGAATTTTTTCAGTAGTCATGTTTTGGATTGATGTAATCTTATCTCATTATCTTTGATTAACCATATGGTGGGTTTGATAATCTTATTACCCATTAAAAAAAATTACACTTAGCATTTTCTCCTGTATTTTAGCGAACCAGGAAGACGCCAATGGTTGTCGCTAATTCCCGCGAGGTTCCTGAATATGAGTTAAATCCTCTAGAACTTCAAGTTCGAAAGGCTGATGGTATCTCAAAGGCAAGAACTCTGCATTCTCTAAACTTCCTTATGATGATCTTCCTTGGCAGCTAGTGCTGCTCAAGATATGTTAAGAAAAATTATCCCTGGTTGCCTGTTTCATGGAGGCAAAATGTTTTGCATCTGTTGTACAGAGCTTATGGCTTAGTGATGTATAATTTCTACTCTAATCGTGCTGTGTCCAGGTCTTGAATTTGTTTTCCTTGAGTGTTTAATATTAATTCTCTACATTTTATGAACTTGTGGTTGCAGTTTCTGATTTTTCTCTCGATCATTGTTTTGCAACTTTTTTGTTATTGTGGGAAACCCAACACATCATTTGTTACTTCTCCAGAACTTGGATTTTTGTGCTGAAAAAAGTTGAACAAATATGAAAAATTTCTGCTTACAGGGAACATATCAAGTGGCTAAATGGAATGGGACCAAGGTATCTGTAAAGATACTTGATAAGGAGTACTACACAGATCCTGACAGCATGTACGCCTCTTTTTGCTCTTTACTGATTCAGTGATATGTCAAGAATGTCTTTGAAATTTTCATGCCAATCTAGATTATTGGACATCTCTTTGTGGTGGTTAATTGTGTCATTATGAGGTTCTAGCCTGCTAAAACCTTTCGTCAAATTTCTATGAGGTTTGAATTATAGAATTACTCTCTATGATTGATAATTGATGATCGAATTTATTAACATGGTAACTTTCTTTTTGTTGTAAGAATAGAGTTGTATATCATCCTAATGGTTCTGGTTCAGGTAGTGATACGGTTTGTAGGGCCTGCATGCAAGAGCTTGTGATTTTGGTTTTTAGGATCGTTCGGTTCATACGTTGATGGTCATAAGCACGAAATTGAGATCTTTTAATATGTTGGGTTTGTGAATCACTTTGATCTATCTGCTTTCTAAAAGTTACTTCACTTTCTTCTTGGTAATCTTTTCCTTGCTTTTCACAATTTTTGTTTAGGTTTTGTGCAACAATTTTATCATCCGTTTTTATTATTTTCGACAGAAACGCCTTCAAACATGAACTTACTATACTTGAGAAGGTCCGGCATCCTAACCTTGTCCAATTTGTTGGAGCTGTTACTCAAAATGTCCCCATGATGATAGTGTCTGAATACCATCCTAAAGTAAGTTCGTCTCATCTGTAGATGAATCATGAATATAAACATGTTTTGACTTTGCTTTTGCAAATATAACTTTGTTGTGTTGGTGGTAACATCTAGGGTGACCTGGGGAGTTATCTTCAAAAGAAAGGACGTCTCTCTCCATCCAAAGTTCTAAGATTTGCCCTCGACATTGCCAGGCATGCCTGCTTTTTGTATCTTTTGCTGTTTTCCCAACATTTGTGTTCGAGGACCAATTTCCTTGATCAGAAAATACATTTTAATTTGAAATCTGGCAGACAACGAAAGGTTATTCTGTAGTTTCTCGTTGCTCTTTCTGCGGTCTTTGTTGTTTCAATTGTCTGACCTATCATCTGTTTCTTGTTCTCAGGGGAATGAATTATCTTCACGAGTGTAAACCAGATCCAATAATCCATTGTGATCTGAAACCCAAGTAAGATAACTAAATGAAGTAGGTTAGGTGTGATTTGATTGCAGATTACCTTTTGATTACCTCTATTTGGCTCCTGTTATCTAATTTTTGAAAATTTTGTAAGGTGCCAGAAATATTATGCTCGATAATGGAGGACACTTGAAGGTAGCAGGATTTGGGTTGATAGGGTTTGCGAAGTTATCCTCTACAGAGTCTTCGAGTAAGCAAGCTTCTAAAAGCATCTTTCCTTGTGCAAAAAAAGATGGAAAAAGAAAACCCCAAGTTATCATCTGATAGATAATATAATAAAACCCATAAGTTGTCTCTGTTGTCCTCTAATGGACAACCACAGGAGCTCATATGGAGCTTTCAATTAGTTTCAAATGCATAATCCATAATCTCCATGCAGAGGCGGCTTCCTTGGAAAAGCAAGCATTTAATCGTGGACAAGTACATCTAACATTTAAATTTCTGAGAAGCTAAAATTAAGTACAAAAGTTACTTATGCTAAAATGGCCAATACGAGTTATTTCCGTGAGGCAATGCTGCAATAGTTTAAGCAGTTGACATTTCATTTATTGATCACAGATTACTATCTAGCACCTGAGATCTACAAAGATGAAACCTTTGACAGAAGTGTAGATTCATACTCATTCGGTGTTATATTATACGAGGTACCTTTTTTAATTTATTTAGTCTTCATGTCCAACATCTGTGATTATGCTGCTCTGCATATCTTGATGGCTGTATCTGAGACGGATCATGGACTTAGTTCACTCTGCGTTATAAGCTTTCTAATGTGATGGAAATGAGTTGAACTTTCAATCATTGTAACAGCCGAGTAAGAATAAGTTTTTTCTTTCTGTTTCTCATATAATATGGATGATCTTATTTTCTCCCTTTGGATGTTCTAGCTTCCATGCTTCTAAGTTTTACTATCGCATAGTCACTGTAGCAATCTGTCTTAAAGTGTCTTTTCTTATCTTAAAAAGTTCTTGTAATCCTTCAGATGATCGAAGGAGTACAACCTTTCTATCCGAAGCCTTCAGAGGAGGTAGCGAAACTGATGTGTTTGGAAGGAAAAAGACCGTCTTTTAAGACCAAGTTGAAAAGTTGCCCCGCAGATTTGAAAGAGTGAGTTTAATATCTTTGTATCTCTTGTTTTTACGATTTAACTATGCCTCTTGTAGTTTCAAAAAGGAGGCTCTGGTTTTAAATTTTTACTATACAGATTGATTGAGGAATGTTGGGATACAGAAGCGGTTGTTAGGCCGACGTTTTCAGAGATCATCGTTCGATTGGACAAAATCTACACTCACTGCTCAAAGCAGGGGTGGTGGAAAGACACTTTCAAGTTCCCTTGGTAAGCTTTCTATTAACAAAAGCTTTAACTCATATGTAGAAGACTCGAGGTTCATGTGAGTTTTCGGCCAATGTTAATGGACGGGTTGACGTAGTCACGAGTTCGATCTCCGCTCTTTTACTATATTGAACCCTGCCTGATTTACCCCACTCCGGTAAAAATTTGTCACCATCGGACGATTATGCAGGATATAGACGAGATGGATGTGGATACACGAGGCAAATCCAACTCAAGATCTCACCGAAGAAAGTAAAAAGAAACGGATAGGAACTTCGGCAACTCTAAAGCTGTTTATAAGGTAAATTGGTTACAGAAAAAAAACAATAAAGTTACCTTAATCTCTTGTACAATGTATACCAACAAATGCTGTAACGATTTATAGTCCACCCCCATGCACGAAAAGCGTGCATTTCAGATTATACACAAAATCGCATGGAAGAAATTTTCCAATGACTCGTATTGCAACTCTTGCAAGGATTTTTTGGTCAATGGATCCAACTAGGGTGGCCATCCTGAGTTTTGGTTCCAGTTCGATTATTTCGGTTTCGGTTTTTATTTTGAGTTATGTTCATATTTATTATTTGAATAATTTTTTTCTTTCAACAATGACATTTATTACATATATTACGTAAGATTTAATGTAAATCCTCAACCAAACATAGCAACGAACTCATCCAAGTTCCGGTCGGAACTCCCTCCTTCACTGACAGCTTCACAGGCCAACACCTTCCATTTCTCTGCATTCTTCCTCATCTCTTTCCCCGTCTCTCCCTCCATCACTTCCCTAACGCATCTCGAGATCTCTTCCTTCTTCACGAGTCCGTCCTTCTCGGCCTTCACCCTCACCCCGACCTTCCACACATCCTCTATGAACTTTGCGTTGGTCGGCTGATCCGTCCACTGCGGCATCCCTACCAACGGTATCCCCATACACAATGCCTCGAGAGTCGAGTTCCATCCACAGTGCGTTACAAAGCATCCGACTGAGCCTTGCGCCAGCACTTCTAGCTGGCTTGTCCAGTTCACCACCAATCCCAAGTCGTTTTTCGATACCTTTTTTCACATTCAAAGTTTTAGTATATTTGTGGTATTTTATATATGTGGATGGATAGTACTTTAGTCACGTTGTCAACGACGGAGATCAAAACGATTCCTTAGTTTCATAAGCAAAAAAAAAAAAAAAAAAAAAAAA